AGCAGAAAATACAAATCGTGTAAATTAAAAGTCACCGATATCTCAGGTCGCAACTCTGCACTTGCACTATGACCGTTGATAAAATGGATCTGAATTAAGCAAGATATATATATCATCAAAATATAAAGAAGAATAATAACTAAGACTAGTTGATAAAATAGACCAGACATATGATATCAAGAACAACCCTTAATATATATGTATACTGAAACACTAATATACAGAACTGGACAGTCTAATTTCTGCAAAATGAAACATCTTTGCATTTTCTGTGAATAATTTAGTCTAAAATATGTGTGTCAAGAATGAGAGTCAATGATAACTTGTATTTGACAATTGTTTTAGAGATACAAGTGATTTTAGAACAAGATAAAAGGCCAATCTTGATTATTTTAAACCTTTTCTGTATTTTTACATACAACCTTTACCTAAAAAACATGTATAAGTACACGTTTTTTCTGGAATTTCATCAAAAGTTATATGGGCGCTATCACAAGCCGTTCTTTACCAGACATGGGTGTGTCACTATTACCATAGATTTATTCCTTTCATGCCAAAAAGACAGTTTGGAGAGAGAATAAGAAAACATGAGAAGTAATGTATTTTATCTGCTTTTTTCGAGAATATGTTTTTGCTAGAAAGATTGTTTTATTATTCCTTGAAAAAAGGAAGAACGTTAAGTGTTGTATTTTATGCTTTTTAGTTTAAATAGATGGTGACTAATATACAATATATTTATTTTCTTCACATGTATGTCAAAAAATTGCTTAGATTTGCGCTGTATTCTATAGCTATTCTTTGCTAATTATAGATTATAATCATTATGCTCACCCTTAGGCCTCATTCCTTATCACTCAATTGCTTTTCTAATTTTGATTTTGACTATTTCAGGCAAATTTTATCTAAGACTATTTTGGCATTTCTTTATAGCCCCAAATTGAATCGATCCTTAGAGGCGTTTTGCTGTATTTAGCGTTCCAAACATTTTGGTTTCAAAGTTTATTCCAGAAACGGGAGCAATGCGGACTGATTGGTATGGTATTCTTGCGTTTAATATATTGATTTGCAAAACTGTTAATATCTAGCGTACAAGTCATGTGCACTGAAATCAGTTTCAAAAGTTTATTTTACTGCCTGTTATTAGAGTAAATAAAACAATGAAATATATGAAAGTTAATTGTTTGTTGTTTTATATTCGCTATAGCTGATACAGAATTCATGGTTAACTAATATTTTTAGTAGTTTCAAAACAATGCTAACAGTGTCGAGGTATATTGAAGACATAATGTACTTCAACAGAAGACTAATATAATATATAATGAGTGTTTCATTATTGATGAAATATATCTTAAAAACCGACGTGTACGTGTCAATTTAAAGAATGTCAGAAACTTATAATCCAGAAGGACTGTATAGGTCACAGCAAAGCAACTGAAAAACAAATAAAGACAGGCGCACACACATAATGCAGCGTTAAAGATGTATCATACTTATAAAAATAAGAAGAAGTAGTATGATTGCCAATGATAGAACTCTCCACCGGAGACCAAATGACATATAAGTTAACAACTATAGGTCACGTACGGCCTTCAACAATGAACAAAACCCATACCGCATAGTCAGCAAAAAAGGCCCCGACATGAAAATTGTTAAACAATTCAAAGGAGAAAACTAACGACCTGATTTATGTACAAAACAATGAATGAAAAGCAAATATGATATACAGCAACTAACGACAACCACTGAATTAAAGGCTCCTGACTTGGCACAGGCACATACAGAATGTGGTGGGGTTAAACTTGTTTGCTGGCGCCAAAACCTCCCCCTAACCTGGGACAGTGGTGTAGCAGGACAACATAAGAACAAACCATAATAATCAGTTTAAAAGGGGTTAACTCATCAGGTCGATACAAAGCAGAAAAACATCTAACAAAAACACAGACCGGAAGTTGCAGGGTATTTATACATCCCACAACAAATAAAAGACACTAAGTACAGATCTGAGAGTACTCGTAGTGACTGACTAGTTCAAAGCCAATAACAGCTATCAAATAAATCGTGCATCTAAGACTAAAATAGCAATCCGTTCACATACAACATCCAATGGATTTAGTGTAAAGACGTCATTAACAGTCAAAGAAAAACATGACCTTGTGCATTGCCAAGATACAGGTATTAACAGATTGTATAGCCAATATGTATATAAAAATAATATTTAGTTTGATTTAGTTTGCTTGTATGCAGTATCTGGAAGCCTGATGTAGTAATTAAGTATATGAAATTTTGATCTATGTGAAGTTCAGATATATTTTTAAAAGGTGATTATTATATACAAACATTTCCGTATTTAAAATTTTAAAATATAAAGATTTACAACGTTTTACAACATACATGCTAAAGGGTCATCTGAAAGCTTTACAAAGTTAATTAGTGTATTAATAGTAAATATATCAAATTTTAATTGGTCCCAGACGCCAGTATTGTATAATACGGTGTTGAAAGAACTACATATGATTCTTATATTGGTATTTACACGTCCGCTAATTGACAATTACCACAAACAATGTAGTACGAGTCGAGATTTCCCTGCCACGTGCACTTTGTTTAATCTCTTTAATTGGCTGTGTTATCTACAGTAAGATAAAATGGCGCACATTAACTGCAGTATGCCTCATCGCGACTTCTCATTGACGGGTTTAATTACTCACGTAATTATAATGAGCTTTTCAATTTTAATCATTTAGAAAAGAAAAATATGTCCGTTATGAGATACTGGTTTTACATAATTCTTGAATCTGTTGTATACTTAAGTCTCACAGCAGGGATGGCATGAAAAAGGAGAAAAACAGTACCCAACAAAACTGTTATATGATAAAACCCCAGGCGGTAAATGAAAAGAAAGAACTGAAAAGATGAAATAATGCTTTTATACCCACATTATCGTGACTCGTTAAGGCGTTGGTAAACGGTGATAACAAACAAAGATTGGCAAACGACATCGTGTACATGATCAAATTTTATGACGTTTAGTGAAAAAAGGCAGTATTCGTACGAATGTTCAAGTCGATGCTAGAGAACGTATTTATTTGTCTTAAGGATTTGATCTTTCTTGCGTGTTAATAATTTGAAATTGATACTGAAATGTCTTTAGTTAACAAAATGATGCAAAATTTATAAAATTCCAAGATTATCCTGTCAATACAAAGGTTTCCTTAGCTATATGTGTAGCCAATTTATTCAAGCATTTGTAGATTTATTGCTTAAACATTCAAATTATCATTACCATTTCCCTAATTATTTTGTAGGTTTGTATCAATACCATGCACGGTATTGATGAAACTGTTTAGTAGAATGCCTGCCTCAATGCAAATGCAACACTTGCTAAATAACCACAAAACGTGTATGCTATCATATAGTATTACTTTGGTTTTGATACGAAGAATTCTGTCGAGTTGAAAAATGATGTAATTTTTTTTTAATTCAAAGGGTATGCTGCCGATGCATAGTTGTTTCTCGGCCGGTTTTTCGCGTTCTTTTTTAATAGTTATTGTTTTGTGGGTCTAAAGATCTTCAATAATTGCTTTCGAAACCACTTCATGAAAAGCAAAAAATTCTGCAGTGCGTATATGGTGCATTCAATCAATTAGTTATCTCTCATGTTTTATTTCTATATCTATATGTTACTATACGACTAGAACAAACACCGTAACCTGTGCTTTTGTATTTTGATATCTTTTGTTCTATCATGTTACTGCTTTGTTATTGTTAATTGGGATTTTTTTTTGAGTTGACAGATCATATGTCAAATTAAAGGTTATCCTTCCGATACCAGGTTGTTCTCATTACTATTTAAAATAACTACAATACTTTCAGATTTCCTATAGCTATGGTGGCCGATGAAGTCCATTTCGCGTTTTCGCCTTTCATATTCTATAGGGCGAAAACGCGAAATCAAAAAATGAAATCATTTCGCGTTTTCGTAATTTAGACATCTCATTTTCGCGTTTTCGCACTATAGAATATAAATGTCGAAAAAGCGAAATGGCTTTAACCGGCCACCATATATATCAGGTTTCGAACAAGACTGAAGAAATCAATTTTGAAATGAGCCCAAGTTTAAGTTTATATAATTCTGAATACTCTCATTCACAGCAAAAAGCAGTAAAAACTATCCCTCTCTCTGAGAGAGATACACAGGCACAATGGAAGCCATCCAAAATTATATGTCAGAGGAGAATAAAGAAGGGTCAGTCACAACATGAAGGAAATTGGTAATAAACCAGGCCAAGCCTCTTTTGAACGACTTATCCCATCTTTGATTAAAATAAAATGATTAATACTAAAAAGACCATAAAAGATCTTTATTTATCGGGGTAAGTGTTGCTCAATCTATAGTTTTTAGTTAAGTGTTTTGTCAACTGTTAGTCAGTTCGGTTGGATTTCTTATTTTTTGCCACGGTGTTGTCTATCTTTTTCCAACTTATTGTTTTTGAGTGTCTTGTTGACATCTAACTCCTTTTTAAATAGTTATATATACATACAAGTTTCCTTCAGTTTGAACAGGAGCATGCGGTCACGCGTATGCTAATTTCACATCACCCCAAACATGGACTTCGGATGGATAATAAACACAAAAAATCAAATATCATGCACAATAAAGACAGAAAAAAGGAAAACAAAATGCAACACTTCAAGTCAAAAATATGAAAGGTAAGTACAACTTGAACAAAGGTTACTTTAATACAACAGTGGTATATAAGATCTCTTTACAATTAATACCATGTATTCTAAGGTCAAACATTCTGAATGTATACCAAGTGAATATTGTTGTGTTCATGGAAATCATATATAGTTTTTCTGTTAAATGTTCTACTTGTTTATGTCCCGTTTTGATTTGCATGCTTCCAATGTTTTGACTATAAAGCATACACGACAAATGATTACAAGTTCATTTTTATAGTGCATCTACCACCATACGTCTTCTGTTGCATAACAAATAGTTTATCTTTTTTAAATATTTTATTGTACATTAAAAATACACAAAAATAATATAACATTTTGATAATTTTTCAAAAAAACATATATACAATATAGTGTTTTCAAAAATAAGGTTAATTTGATAAGTGTGAGTATATCTTACAATGACTACAGGCACAAACAGGTTTTCTTATGTATAGCAAGGATAACATTTCATGGTTTGACAACTTGATCGTAACAAAAATTCCTACAGGTCAATTCAATAACCTTTATTGAGTTGGATTATAGATGGCCAGGAGAAGCCTTTTGCCTTCATTGTAAATACAGCAATCATTCTGTTAAATCATAACTGAAGGATTTGCAAGGAAGACATTTTGAAATTACACTCCCATAAGGCATTCCAAGATTGATCTGACGTCTCGGGATTTTTAATGACTTGCTGGGGCCGTGGTCCACCCCAAACAATAATGGAAAAGTCCGTCAGTCGTTATGGCAATCTCAGACTTCCACATGGTAGTACGTTAAACAATGCACCCAAATTTAGCAGCCACATTTGGTCGATGTTCCCCTTTTGATATTTGGGATAGCGCCATGAAAAAGACAATACTAACAGAGTGCAGCACTGACTTCAAAGTTAATCCATTATCTATATCGTGTTAAGTTTTTTTTTTTATTTTGACATTGTTATTTCACTATTTCTTTTCGTCTTCTTTTTCCATTATAATTATCATTGCATGAAAAAAGTTTGAGGCAGCCTACTAATTATACATTTTAGGGACTATGTTACATGAAAAAATAATATATCAATAGACTTGACTTAGTTAGTTTGTTCCTGCTCAATTAAAGTATTATATTCCCGTTCCCTTTAAATAAATTGGAACTTAAGTGTAATTGTGAACATTGTTTAAGACTTGAATAAAATCAAATGTTCACAGAAACTTTAAACCTATCGTAAAAATTATATTGGTAAAATATATTTTTTTCATATCTTTTAAATATATATATATATAAGGTACAAAAAAAATAATATCTTTACATGAAAAGTCGTCTTTAAGGCTCCTTAATGGGGATGTCAAATTGAAAGATAAATTTAAATTTCTGTAAAGATTTAGTCTTTCGGTTGAATTCTTTCAAAATTCCCATTTTAATACTTTAATAAAGGTGGCAGCTGCTTCTAAACTAGCTCGGGGGTTCCAACAATAGAAGATTTTGAAAGAGTTAATGACTCTGTACCGATGACAGACACTAAGTGAAAGCAATAGCTCGCATCGCAACACATGAGCTTAAACTATTTGAAAAAATAAAAAAATATACAAGGGTGCACTCTTAGCGCTTCGGACGCATGGAATTATTAAACGTGTTGTTTTCAATTTTTTGACAAAATGAGTTTTACGCCAAACGGAATATTTTATAGACAGGATATACCCAAGTAAATTTGACATTCTAAACATTACAAAGACAAACATTTCAATAAAACAGAAATGTGTCTCCTTTAAAAATGCATAGAATATATTAGATACGACTCACTTAAATTTAAAACGTATCCGTGTGTGTCACTACCTTAACACTACATAAAAGAGGAAAACATTTAACTTAATTCTTAATAACTGCATTACATGTAGGTTTCATTATAATACGTTATTTTGATTGGCTAATAGCAATCTCGCGTCATTCTGAAATTAACCTTCATTTCAAAATGAAATGTAACATTCATGATGACACGAGATCAACAATAAAGTGCACAGGTAAATAAAAGAAAAACTTAATAGAAATCGTGTTTTCATGATCCTAGCAAAAAAATGTAATTATAAGTATTGAATGCTTCTTTTAGTAATTTTATAGGGTTGTAAAAGCGTTGACCGTGCGCACATTTTTACAATGAAACGCGGATGTACTTCGGTCAACGTTTTTACACCCCAATAAATTTACAAAAAGAAACATTCAATTCTTAAAACAATTTAAAGATATTTTTGTCGTAGAGAATGCCGTAATTATTGGACTAATTGTTATCCTGTCGATCACTTGCAACCAGTCAAACCATTGAGTTGTTTTTGGACAAATGTTAAATATCTTGACTCCCTTTTGCCCCAAGTCAACATATAAAATAATAGTTACGTGCAATGGAAATAAACATGAATTAATAGGTGAAAGTTGGGACAAATACTCTATTCAAAGCAACAACTTATTTTGCAAACTGAACAATTCGTGGGAAGTTGTTTTTTGGAACATACATTCATGTAAATATGAGATTGTAATGATATGTAGGTATATATCTACGCATATCACTCTCCTTCTGAGTAGTTCATGGTCTCTCTCGACTACCATGACTATACACATATCGCTAAAGAAGATATACTAGAAATAGAAACACTGCACATTTCGTAAACGATTCACATGATAATGATGACAATGAAATGGATCAGGTCGGAAATTAATTGTTCTCACCAAAATACCTCACATTCATTCGTCAGTTTTGAGGGACCATATCACCACGAAGATCTTCCGCCGAAGTATGTATTAAACACTCGACATCGACACAATTGTTTTCTGAGTGTCACGTCCATTCAGTAGTGTACGCTTGATGTACGTAATAATCCAGGCTACAAAGACTTCGCTTGTCATTTGGATCTTAATCACTCTGCTGATGTTTATATCAAATGAGCAGACGATAACAGTGTGTTCTTTTTATAAAGCATGTCATCCGATGTCGAAGAAAACACGTGATAGTTCGTCAAAAATAGTTCATGTTATTCCACCTTCTTTCGTTTAATGTATATATGTATAAGCATTCCTATATCAAAATGTACGTTTTATAGATACACATATATATATTTTCTTGCACAACATGATAGAATTTAACAGTAGGAATGATACGTTTTGTGCATTTACCTCCGACATTGCCATCTCTATAAATATTTTTCAAGATCCAAATTATCATATAGTCATTGTGTCATATGGTGACCATAAGGGTTGTGTGGTAATACGTTGTTATATTCATGAGCTTTCAGTCTGAGACATGCTAAACTGGAGCCTAAATTCTGTGGCGGAGGAGTATATGAATGATTTGCCAATGCACAACTTGACGAGTTTGACACTACTGGGCTATATGCTGGTGGAGCATACCAGGATAAGTCATTATTCATGGAAGTAGGTCGCGGAGTAATTGGTTGTTCTATTGGTGTAGATTCAGGACGTCCGTATAAATTTCCACGTTGTGCTAACATATTTCTTTCGTTCCTTCTAAATTTTGCCCTTCTGTTTTGAAACCAAACCTTTAAAAAAAGAAAAATGTCTTTATGGGAAAGAAAAGATTATCTTTTTCCACTCAAACTTTCAAAAATACTCATAACAATGGCATAGCTAACGGCAAGAAAAGTGAAATGTAGAAAGGAAGTTGACAAAAAGAATTTAACGGAAACAGACATGAGAAAACCATCAACACTTGGCAACGGAACACGATCTGTTTTTGGATAATAAATAACTGTATTTGAATTCTTAACACATTGAAACAGACAATGACAGAATGTGAGATTGCTAGATGTTCATACTTCTTGTTTCATTTCATTTCTTACTGCCTTAATCAAAAGTGAAATAGCAAAAATACCGAACTCAAAGGAAAATTCAAAACGGAAAGTCCCTTGTCAAACGGCAAATTTAAAAGCTCAAACACATCAAACGAATGGAAAACAACTGTCATATTCCTGACTTGGTACAGGCATTTCCTTATGTAGAAAATGGTGGATCAAACCTGGTTTTATAGCCAGCTAAACCTCTAACTTGTATGACAGTCGCACATAATTTAACATATTACCCATTGTCGTACATGCAGTAACAATAATATATAGTTTTCAATGTTGACGTCTTGCAGGGCTACAACTGGTAAATATTTACATACAATAAAATTACTAACCTGTACTCTTGCCTCGCTCAGATTGACTCTTCTGGCTAGTTCCTCCCTAACAAAGGCATCTGGGTAATGTGTTCTTTCAAATACTCTCTCTAATGCTGCCAATTGTGTACTGTTAAATGTGGTTCTATTACGTCTTTGCTTTCTTCTACGTTTTCCGTCTTTGTCGTCCTTGTCCTCTGTGTCTGTATCTATAAAAAAGATCAATAGAGGTTTTTGAATTTAATTTTTTAAATTCATAAATTTGATGTCGATCCTTGATAGTGTATCGAGTATTTCAATGTTTTAAAACCGAAAATCTATGAAAAAAATTGGCCATACCGATGATATTTCATGTCAACACAAAATGCTGTCTTCTGAGCAGGTGATTCCCTCCAGTACAAAACGGCCACCAGCAGTGGCATTGACCTTATGATTGTAAAAACTAATCAGATACTAGGCTAATAATTTATATAGAATTCATTGTTTGTCTTCCAAACTAGAAAACTAAACGGAATGCAAGAATTTATACATACAAAAAGCCGTGAAAAAGAGGCGGAAGATACTAATGGCAGAAGATACAAATGGCGGAAGATACAAATGGCAGAAGATACAAATGGCAGAATCAAAACTCATATATCAAAGAGAGACACTGAAAATCAAGTAAACTTGATGAGTGTTATAAAAAGAAAAGAAAAACACAGAATCGCAAGTAGGCATCAAAAGAATATTCTGTTTGTAAAATGACAATTTTTAATGTGTGTTATAGCAAACGATTTTGTGTTTACAATTTCTTAATATTAGTATTGGAAAATACTTTAATGCTTGTCCTTTTGTGGGTGAACTAGAACAAGAACGGAATGATAATTACTTTCCAATATGATAACTTTATAATATATAATAAAGTTAAACAGAACTTTCCAATATAATTAGGTCTATAATTAGGTCTATAATTATTAGAAAACATTTTTAATATAAAATATGGTTAGTCGGAAAAGATGGATCGTTAAACTAACCAAGAAAAGACTATCCAAAAAATGTTTTAAAAACATTAACCAACACGAAACGCGTTGTTAACGAGACACTCGTATGTTCTAGATATATGCAAATAGTTCCCGTGCAAGATGTCAAATAACTAGTTTTATTGGAACCTGTAATTCTTTGAACTGACTCGATTATAAGACTGGGAACTAAAAAATATGATTACCAAAAGTAATATTTTACAGACTACAATGACATTATTTTTTAACTCACATGTTTTAGGTAAACGACAATTAGGAAACTAAAAAGGAACTATCATAAACGGATAAGTCGACGAAAAACAGACATAACAATGGCCAAAAAAGAAAATAGAAAAAAAGACAAGTCGTAAACAACAATAAAAATGCGTTCATATTACCATGAAAATATTCATTAGCTCGAAACTCAAAAGTACTTTGAAAGATCCATGGTATTATGCGTATTCACTTGAATTTATTTGAAAAATAAAAGGCACAAATGTATAACAAAAATGTTATTTTTCAAGTGGTTATCTTCTTTGAAAAGTAAAATGTTCATCTTATTTCTCAGTATGTTTATACCTTTAATCATCAAATCGTTGACCTCATATTGGCTAATTTTCTTATATCAAAAATAAAATATTTCTCTACACAAGTATGTATGACTTAATTACACGTTTTCAATGATTTATGGATGTTACTAAGAACTTTTTAATTGCAGATATTGAAGTGCCGCCTCTTGTTTTTACAACAGGTTCTGAAGTAAGATCTGGAAATGAAAATAAGCAACTCAATAAATTGTTTCTCAATAAAAAAGCGAAGTTCTATTTATCAAATATAACATCCATATTCGAGTAGAAAGTAACATAATGCTTACTTGAAAGCAAAGTTTAATTTCCTAGTTTGTAATATTAAAAAAAATAATGTTTTGTTCTTAATATTATTTTCTAATTATATGTTTCGTGGTGCGAATAAAATTAGGACATCAAATGCAAAGGTCAAAACAAAGTCAAATCCTCCCATATGTAAAGGGCATTCCTTTCTGGGTATGGTTTGGTCGATTTCTTTGGAGTATATAAGTTATATTTCCAATTTTGAGTTTTGTATATTGAAATAATATTGAATACTAAAGAGTAAAAACAAATGTATACCATTATTTACTACGTGTCGTTTTGTAAAACCAAATAGTTTAATTTTATACTGGTTGCCAAAAACATCACGAATTAATTATGCCTTTGGTATAAAATTGTATTATTTAGCCTTCCAACTGTTTGTGTGGTCCTGACAATAAACTGCTCCATCAGATTTATGCGTACGCAAGACTGAAACCGACCAAGCACAAGTGATACTGTCACCATGCATCTATATTGGGCTACTAGTGTTGCCTCTATTTTTATTCGAGCGTCATTGATCAATTGTATGTACATGTATATGAAACGCGCATCTGACATAATTATATATAATTATATAAATTTGATAACTTTGTTCTAAAGGTTTAAAAAAAAATGTCAGGAATAAAGATTATTACAAAAATTTTAATAGAATTATCACATCACACTTAACATAATTTATTATTAATAAAAGAATATTTTTAAACCATATCATAATTAACATTTTAAATTTTCAAATTTATGCAATTTAAGACATAAATACATATTACTCTTATTTGTCATGACTTCGATCGTGTAGAGAGTCCTATGCGGTAAGGCATTTCGTCAAAAGAACGCATAAAGAGTGCTTAACCAAATTCCACTACATGCAGTACCCAGTTTATTTGTTGCTGTTTAATGGTGGTAAATGAAAAAACATTTTTATTGCATATAGATTGTATAAAACTGGAATGTTTGCTTTAGAAAAATGGTAAATATGCAATTGAGTCTTTTTATACTTGCGCGCAACTGACGATTACATTTTTTTTTATAATTAAAAGAAAATGATCTTACTTTATTCTAATAGCTTATATCATGCCGTTATGTTTCTCTTGTGAGACCTCTTAAAGTTTACCGCTTACGAACTTGGTTTTACTCATTGTTGGAGGCCGTACGGTGACTTGTACGAGTTTATATCCTTCTTCTTTTGGTGGATAGTTGTCTCACTGGCAATCATACCACATCTCCTTAATTATTATACTGTATCTTAAAATTTAATGCAAAATTTGTGATTGTCAACTGTGTTAATAAGTGCTTCTGCATAAATCCCATGCTGTTTTAGATAATTTTGCAGCATTTTGGATAATCAGGTCGCACTGACCATGCATGCTTCATCTTTCACTTAACTTGAAACAAAGTTACCAAATTTTAGTTTTCCAAACGGCTGTTAAATTAAATCTTATATAATAGAGGCGAAAGATACCAAAGGGGCTTTCAAACTCATTAATCAAAAATAAACTGACAACGCCATGGTAAAAAAAAAAGAAAAGAAAAAGACCAAGAGACAAACAACTACACAAAACACAACATAGAAAACTAAAAACTGAGCAACACGAACCCCACCAAATAGTGGGGAGGGGCGGGGGGGTCTCAGGAACTCCGAATTAGTAAGCAGTTCCTACTTTTAAGGTTTATATGATGTTTGAAAAGAATTTTGTTTGATAAATTTTGGATTTAATTATGAGGCGAAAGGGACCATCTTCATGCACTTGCAATTCGATGGTTAGCTTGATGTTTTGTTCTTGAAAATGAATTACCTATTGTTCCATTTTTAAAAGTGCTCCAAATCCTTTAGTATTTTTAGACTTGAATAAATGGATGAAAGAAAACCGAAACACTGATATTCCAGTACACGAGGCCTGTAAAAAGGGTATTTTATCATGTTATTAGTGTTGGTATTTTAAATTTTTACGATAACTTTTATTAGACTTAAATTTACTGAATCGCAATACTGTATACATTTTAAGACTATTTTCTTTATTATTCATTTTTTTATCCAATATTTTTTATTATTCATATTTTAGCTCCCCATTATTCCATGGTATGTAACATGCAGACTGAGTATTGACGTTAATGATTAAAAAGTAGTCTACTTTTGCGCAGCCTTGCAATTCTTTTTTGTGACAAGCGAGACAAATCTTCTTGACTTCAGTATAACAGAAAATTCATTGTGTTCAGACCAGTCTGGTTATACGTTTATTACGTTTATTAAAATAAAAAAAAGGTTTGGACGTCTTGATAAAGATTAATCCAGAAAAGCGCTTCGAGCACACCAAATTTATGATATGTTATTTTCATATTGTATCTAAATACATAATTTTATGAGCAATGCAGATCACAGTACTTGCGTCTGTCTATATTTTTTCTTTCTTTCTCTTAGAGCTACGTAAATTTAGTTTTGTTCTTCACAATAATCCGGCGCACATCAGAAACCTAATTTTATCTAGCCTACATATAATAACTTTTATGAGCGATGCAGATTATGTATATTTCTTCTTTAGATACATAAATATATTTATATCCATCACAACAATTACACATCCGAAATCTACTTATATTTAGCCTTAATAATTTTGGCACTATCGTTTATACTTCAACAAAAGTGATAAGTTTGATACTATAGCCTATTTTTTAGATACTATACAAATATCTGATTTATTTTTGCCTTTTAGGGGGGGGGAAATAGAAACTAGGTTGTAGACAAAATATGTAGAATAACCGTCTTGCCAGGCACAAACAACACATATCTATTTGTGTTTGGCCTCACTACAGTATCTAATTCTACTCTCCATATGTTGGTACAATAATGTATGTACTTGATGTAGAGTATGTTCGTTTCTTTTCATCCGTAACTGCTCTGCACTCGCAAAGTGTCAGTCATCGGGGATTGAGACGTTTCTCAACTTCAAAGGCGCCACGTTTCTCTCGCAAAACCCTTCTTCTGCAAATTTTACATACTTCAGTAGTAATTGATTTCTATACAAAATATTTCTACTGGAACAAAAAAAAGTATGTATAATTGAAAATGTGGATATTTTTGTTGACTTGATGCTGGAGTTAAGACTACACACGTTTAACGAGATAAAATAATGACATAACATATTTTTTGTTTTGATTTATAAGTCTGATTGATACTGTTAATTTACAGTAATTACATATACAGCTATCATAATAAGCAATCAAATCAAATCAAATCTTAATTCTCTTGTAACCTAAAACTGTTGTGAAAATGGAATGATAAATAAATCTACAATATAATTAAATACATTCTGGTTAATTTATGCT